AAAACATACATTTGACGAGGGACATGGCACAATCATGTTGCATCGTATCGCTACGTGATCCCAACACCCACATAATCATTTCAACTCCTTTTTGTAGACGAGTTTCAAATCATTCGTGGGTGAACATTAATACTTATAAACGATACATGAAACTTATTTAGTGAGGAGTTAACACCCTGAACTGAAACTCATCAATGAGAACAGAAACCAACTTTAAAAGTGAAATGAGCTAAATTTATAGATGAGAGCTAAAACTCATCCCATGGATGCGAGCTCGTTATGTAATAAACTATACAATGATCTTCTACCTTAATTTACTTCTACCAATAACCTCCGTGCCATTTGCGGACATGTTCGTGTGGGTAGCAATCTGTAGTCTTGTAGTTGCTGTTGTGTTCTTACTGCAGATAAAAACAAGATTATATTGTCACCCTATGTCATTGCATAATATTGATGTTGTATATAGAAATATTGTTTGCAACATCAACAAAATAATATTGACTTTGTATCATTTTGCAGCAGCTACGTGCATTATTCCTTTTAATGATTCATAGCTTGTTTAAATCCATGATATTCTAGCTCCGACAAAATGGTATCAATGTCAAATGCAATTCAATTAGTCCTGATTAAATTATAAGGTTTTATAATATACTAGACTAAACGTTATATAATAAACCATCCAATGATCATCTACCTTGATTCACTTCTTTCACCAATAACCTCCGAGCCATTTGCGGAGATGTTCGTGTGGGTGACAATCTGTAATCGTGTAGTTGACGTTGTGGTCTCACTGCAGATAAAAACAAGATTATATTGGCATTGCATAATATGAAATGGATGTTGTATATGAAAATATTGTTTGCTACATCAACAAAAGAATATTGACTTTGTATCATTATGCAGCCGCTACGTGCATTATTACTTTTAATGATTCATACCTTGTTTGAATCCATGACATTCCAGCTCCGACGACTAAAGATGTCCATTGATGTGACAATGCACTGGAATATATACCGGCGTACCCGATCCATCCTACCAGCGTCAGAGGAACGAACAGTGTGAAAACCGTGCATTTCCATCGATTACAGTAATTCTTCATCTTGGAATTTGATATGTATTTTTAGACTATGCGATATGAAACAACAATTAAATCATATACCTTGTCATTAAAAGTCCGTCCTCGCATAACATGACGTCAAAGTGTAGTAAGCCGAAATCGAAGAGCGAAAAAGAACCGAAGTCTATTTATTTCCTTTTTTGTATTTGTTCAGATATGTCTTTCGTTGTACCCTTTGGCGTTTGGTGCGTGAAAAGTGTGAATGAATTATTCATGTGTTTATTGTTGTATCTGATATGCCCCCTACTTGATTAAGTTTTCATAATTTCCATATATAATCGCCCTATTGAAATGTGATTCAAAATGCTGTTAGTCTGTATGTCATCATAATGAATACATGTTGAGCAGTGATTAACTACAAGTTTAAATGTTGAACACTCAAGTATGTTATAGATATATTGCGAGACTGTGTTATAAATGCCTTTCATTAAGTATGTCAATGTATCTTTAAAGTACTTACCTCGTTAGATATAATGCATTGTTGTTTTACAGGAAGAATGTGGATACCGAGTGGTGCAGAACAAATAATACAGCGCTGTTGGGACAATGAAATAGACAAGGGTTATACTAGACGTTGACATCTGAACGTAACTAATCTCATATATTCCTAATCTGGTACTACAAGACCTAAGCTTCTGCTGTGCCGAGGAGCTCAGCGTGATATGCAAATTTATGCAAGAACAGCTGTAAATTCAGTGCGGCGCATCGTTTTCGGCAGACGACTGGACAAAATAAAAACTCCAAATAAAAACATTAATTCGACAACTTAAATAGGACAACTTAAACGTAAATACATTATATTTAAACGTTTATATATTTTCTGACATTGTACAAAGGTCTCCGCTGACCTAATTCTTAGCGTCGTGTAGTCACAAAATTACTGGGCGTAAATGTTGCTATGTAACTTTGCTTTGCCAGTGTAAACATGGATCTACTTGCAGTATAGCTAGAACTGAAATTAATATAAACAATTATTTCCAAATAATGAAAATTATAGTGGATCGCACTGAAATAAAAATTCGTGCCTTGCCGACAAAACAGAATTATGCTTCCATGCAAATTCTATGTCTGAGGTTTAAATACATGTAAGCGACTTTCTCCAGGTCACGTAACAATACTGTTTCCATGCGTAAATTTCACAAACATTATGGGCCGTAAATATTTGCTGTAACACGTTGCATTGTTGACGTAAAACATTGGATTACTTGCGATATAATATCATACTCAGATTTGAATAAAATAATATTTCCTAATAAAAACGAACATTAGTTTATCTCACTGAAATAAAAAAGCAACTTTAATAAAAACGGATCGGCAATACACAGTTTATTAATAACTATAATTATAATAACAATTGCATTACATAACGCCGTAATTCATAACTTCCTTACAACACAACTTTGATAAAACGCTGGAAAAATACCATTGCGTCAAACCATCAATATCAAGATGCATTAATATAACTAAGACGTCTTCGTTGACTGGAACGCACTGTCACTAAACACAAATTGAAAATCTCTAACAGGATAGGAATCTCTGCTCCCTGAACTTTGAACCAATTGCTGTCAAACAGCGGGCAGCTATTTTTCTACTTTGACAAGTTGACCCCGTTCGTATTTGGACAGAAAAAAAGGTTGTTTTTGGACGACCTCATTAAAAGGTAATGAGTGAAATCGGCGGATCTCCTCGGAGGACATGGTAGCTCCCCGGAGCTCCGCGGATACCGGGCAAAAAACCGCTTTTTGATTGTGATTACCTCCCCAAACAAATGTCGCACATGCGCAACGCGACGACCACCGCCCTTTAAACTTATCGCAGCCACTAAGACAAATCAAAATAGTTATTCACCGAACTACTTTTCCCACAAGACAAACATCTATGAAAATGACGGTCTTTGAGCCATTTACTATTTATTCTTGTGAAGAAAATTTCTTACCATATCCTAAAATATTGTTTGGTAAATATTGTGAAAAAATGATATGTACATATGACGGATACATATGATTGTCAAGAATTATTAGAACATTCATTACTATTCCTTTTCAGTAAAGTACAGATTTAACGTGACATAACATTGGATTATGTGCATTATTTTAGGCAAGTTAGCGAAAAAAACAAAAGTGACATGACAAAATTGTGTCAAAATTCTCCCCTATTTATCAGGTCGAATGCCCGCAATTTACCTTAGAAGGGGAGATTGGAGGTTCATTTGTCTAGCTATATTTGTATTTATTTTG